TTTCCAATGTAGGGAGAATTTCGAATCACTTTAAATATGCAACACTAAGTTCATGCCCAGGGCTTTAAAATGGTGGTGATTTGAAGGAATTCAAACAACTTTTGTTAGGTCAAAAGCTCGGCTCAAAACAATTGAAAGTTGTTGGAAATTTCCTGCAACCGTGAGCAGTGATGTACCCATGCTTTTCGGGGCATAACTATCAATTTATAAGGAATTTCAAAATTATCAAAACATACAAGTCTAAGCTTATTCACCGACCTTTCAAATGGTGGCAGCTTGAAGATGTTTGGACACCGTTTGCTAGGCCAACAGTGCGGCACAAAAAGAGTCATAGTTGCTGGAATTAATTGTGACTTTGGGCAGTGACATGCCCCAACATTTTGGGGCGTATCTTTTGATCCATACAAAATTTTAGCATAGCATAAAAAGCGAACTTAAATTAAACATGCCTAACTTTCATTCAAGACCAACTTGGGCCCATTTGGGTGCTGTTTGGTTCCGAAAAGCCTAAGGCAAAGACCCTCATAGTTGCTAGAAAATCCTTTTATCCCACATTTTAACATGCTATCCAAATGATACACACCATTTCACAAGCGAAAATGAAACCCAGAACAAGCCTTATTCATGTCAAGCAATTTAAGCAAGTTTTACAAGGAAACTACTTTATAAGTTTATCAAATGCATTACTCAATGCTCAATCACTCATTCAGGCCCCTTTCAATTCATTTATATTCACACACCTCATTGTAGCATATTTCTCTTCATATCAACTTAGATTTAAATCTTATGAAGTGAAATGATGCGCGACACTAAACCCACTTACATGTTCCTCATGGTGTCCTCAACCCCACTCACTTCCTTCTCAAGATTCACGAGCTTCACGAGGGCTCCCTTCCACTGGTAGCTCCTTGGAGAGAGCGAGAGAGAAAGATGAAAAATGGGGAAAACCATGTTGGCAAGGGAGGAGAGGGACTTATGTACCCGTGGTGGTTGAGGAACACTGTGGCTGACGTCACCTTACGCGGTGCTTACAAATACGGTGCGGCGTTGAAACATATGGCGACCGTAGGCTTGACCAATACAGTCACGTCACTACCCTTAGCTCATGCATGGTGTTGCTCATCTGATGCCTTCACAGGCGGCGATGCTCATTACACACACGGCGATGCTCCTCCCTATCTTCATGTACGGAGCTGACTCTCTCTCTCTTCTTCTATTCATAGACGGTACTAGGTCACAAACGGTATTGGGTCACAGACGATACTGAGTCTCCTTACATAGACGGTAATGCTTATCCCTATCTTCACGTGCGGCGATGTCTGCTTTCTCTCTCGTCAGCTTCTTCAACACAGACAGCGCTAAGCTCTTGTACACATGCGATGATGCACCAAAGGACGCTAGGCCTATGTTTCACCCTTCATCGTTGTGCGCATCTCTTGATAGGGAAAAAATTGTGGTCCTTACATGAGGTACCTGAAATGCATAAGAGGATTTCAGATTCTATGCCACTCAGTGGAGAAGAGATAGAAGAAGCCCCATAAGTCTTGGAGGATGGTGGTCAAGCAATGATCGATGATTTATAAGAAGAAAACTTGGGTGATGAAGCTGACCAAGACCCACTTTTATCTTGTTAATTATGCCCTATGAATAGAAGAAAGAGTATAATGAGTTTTTGCAAGCCAATTGAGATGTCTTTGCTTGACATTATGAAGAGATGCCTAGCCTTGATCCTCGGGTTGCAGTTCACAGATTGTGAATTGACCCATCTTTCAAGCCCATCAAACATAAATCAAGAAAGTTCAGAGCTGATTTAGAGATCCAGTCTACGTCTTATGTAGACAGTGTATAATCATATCTTGCTGTATTAACATGTCAAAGATGATAGGGAACATATCGGGAGCTAGCCTGTCCATGGAAATGCTACAAGGTTGTTCCTCTTGTAACACAACCATGTGTGATGCTTCCATGGATTTTTTTGTCATTTGAGACTTGCTCGATTGACCTCTCTCTTCATCCTTCATATTGTGAAAAGTAGAAGGTGCCTTGGCACCATTTTGAGAGGTTGTTGGTTTTGGTGGTTCACGAGTTTGAATTAGGATGTTCACAATGATGCGTCTTTCAGCAATGGACTCTTGTATGAATGATTTGAACCTCGTGCACTGAGATATCTCATGGCCCCACACTAGGTGGAATGGGCACCAGAGATTTTTAATACCTTGAACCAGATTTTTGAGTTGTCTTACATAAAGTATAGTAATCAACCCTTGTAATGCCATCATTGCAAAAAGGTCCGAAAGAAGATCAAATGGTACTTCTTCATGTTGCATGCTCTGTACGCACTCTTCTTTGACAGTGACCACGTGCAAAGCTTCTACGGTCTCGAAAGCCCTTATGAGACTTTCTAAATTAATTTTTCTTTCTGAATAAGGCTTCGATGTGATCTTTGAGTTGAAGGCAATCTTGCACAGGATGGCTTAACATCTAATGATAGACACAATAATTCATGTGATTTGGCAAACCCGATTTGATCCGGTCTTTTTGGTTTAGGAAGAATTATCATATCCTGTTCCAGCAGCATTCTCAAGAGAGTGGCACCCAAGGTTTGTCGAGATTGTACTGTTTGTTCAAAGTTTGCGCGAATTGTTCCGACCGGTATAAGTTATGTGGTGGAGGCACCCTGTTATAACTTTGAGACTAAAGTTGATGCCGTTGCGGTTCCCCTTGACCTAGTAATGGCATTATTCCCAGAGGGGTGTTTAATGTCTTGAGAGGAGTGACATTAGTTGAGTGTTTGGGAAGAATGGGTGTAGCCGTAACCACTGCACTGACCGTGTTTCATTGCTGGACAGTTTTCAAAATATCAATGATATGGTAGGAGGATCTCTTCCATTATCTCCTTCAGGTCAATGTAATAAAAAACATCCTTATTAGTTTTCAAAAATTTTAAAATTACCAAATAAAATTGATATATATATATATATATATATATCCTATTTTTCATGATTTTTAAAATTTAAGGCGCCTTGGGTGCTTTTCTTGGGCATCACATCCCTAATAGAGATAAACCCTACCAACCCTATACCAACCCTATTAGGGCGATGACAATCCATCAGGTTACAACAGGGTCGTGATTCCCAAGGGTACACCTGTGGGTTTGCCATAGGTAGCATGGCCTTAATATGGCCGCGATGGTGCATCACAACTCCAATAGGGTTGCGGTTATCAAAGGAAGCGCGTAAGGCACCAAGCCACTTGCATTGGGTATATGGTTCTAATAGAACCGTGAACGGTATTTTGGGTACACAAAAAGGTCAAAATTTGAGTGTGGTTATAAATTTTAAAACAAATTGGTATTTTTGAAATTTTAAATAATTTTAACGATTTCCCTAATATTTTTTAGCCTTTAGAGTTTGATGATATAACCGCTTCAACCTAGAAACAAATAATTCAAACGCATTAATGAAATAATTTTCTAATATGGAACAGAAAATGCATGGTTAGGGTTTGGTGATATAACCTCTTTAACCTAGAAACAAATAATTCAAATGCACTAAATAAATAATCTTCTAATAGGGAATAGGGAATGCATGGTTAGGGTTTGGTGACATAACCTCTTCAACCTAGAAACAAATAATTCAAACCCACTAAGGAAATGGTGCTCCAATATGGAAATATATAAGGGAAAAGTTTATATAAGGTTACAACTTTAGAATGTAGAACTACGGATGCACCTCCAAAATCCATCGGTAAAGGTTTTTTTAATTTTGAAAAGCCCTCTAATCGACATCGAGATGTATGACTATGAAAAAAAAAAAAATTTAAGCTCTAGAAATGGTGCATCTTATAACACATTATCTAGACCGTCAATTTTTATGATTTTGATAGGTTTATAAATCTTCTTGATTTCAATCTTTTTTGGAGTTTAAAATTTTGTAATTAGATTTAAAAATAGATTTTGAGATAATCTTAAGAATATTTTACATCAAAATTATATGTTATGATAAAATTTGAAGGTGCACCTTAAATGGATTGTTTAAGGTTGCAACCTTTTTGAAGCCACACCCAATATAGAATGTATGGTTGGAACAAACTGTGAAACACTTATCATTTCAAATCATTTATTTAAAACTTATCACTTCAAATCATCAATTTAAACGGCTTTTTGAAGAGTGCGATGCAAAGTTTTAGCACACATGCTATGCTCCTACAAGAACATACTATGCATGTATTCCCCGCAAAGAACATCTATTTAGAACTATTAATTTGGTCTAAAATTTTAGGAACCGCATAAGAATTACTAGGTGATTATTTTCAAAAGAAAAGTTTTGACTTTTGAGTTTTATGACACTTGGATCTAGTTCTTCAAAAATTGATGGTATTATTATTTTTCTAGTACATAGAGACTATATTTTGTAAAATGTTTTTTATTGAGAGTACTTTATGGGTTGTAGAGACTACATTCCCCAAAATTGAGATCTAAAAGGTATTGTGTTATACCCGAGGGAGTAAATGGATAATGTAGTCCGAGCGGCATAATGTTTTTTAATAACTTTCCCTATGGTTTATTCACTCTCTCACCAACCCACGTGAGATAAAAAGGCGAGATTCTCACAGGTGTCCCTCCACTGAATTAGGTACAAGAAATATAGGAACAGGGAAAAGACCTGACGTATTTGCCCATAGTTTTGTCCCCACTTTATCCAAATTCCATTATATTAAAACCCCCACCCTATCTCTCTAGGCAGTAAAAAGGTTAAGTCCAATTCTTCAATGATCTTCTTCCATTGGTTTCTGTGTAGATATTCTGTGGGCTTACAAAAACAGTGAAAAGTGCACCAGCTTCCATGTGGTTATTATGCTAAATATAGTCATTAATCAGAAGAGAATGGTGAAACTTGCAGCTGTTTAGCAAAACCAGTTACTACCCAATGAAACCATCAACTCCAGATCCCAACTACCGATTGATCGCTATTAAATATCAAACCACTCCATACCCATTTCTCAGACAAAAAGTTAAGTCTTCTTCTTCTCATCCTCTTTTTTATCACATTTTGGTTCTCTCTTTTTTCTTATTTTTTTATCTCTCTAAGCCCCAAACAAAAGAATGGACTCTGGTTCTGATCTTTCAAAAGTTGGCAAGGCCGCTTATTCACCATTGGAGAGGAATGGGTTAGCTTCTTTGGACCAGAAGCTGGCTATGGCTAAGCGTTGCTCCCATGGTATTATTCTTGTATTGTTTAAATATTACCTAAAATGCAATTCTCATTGTGTTATTACTGGTATTAATACTAGTGTAGGAAAATACGGTCGAGTTACTAGTAGAGTTCCCATGTAATTACTCAGGTGTATATGGGAACTTTTCTCATGTACCTACTCGGGTACATGTGGGAGATCCTATAAAGTACTTGGGCGAGTACTCTACGTATAGTAGAACTCGGGGGAATATTACATAGAATACCCAAGTTCTAGGATAATATTTACGGTACTTGCGTGACTACTTTACAATATTTACGGTACTTTAATATTTTAAAAAAGCCATTTTTGCAATTGGAGCCCTCCATTTGAATCCAAAATTCAGATTTAAGTAAAAAATCACTAGATCTACCAAACAAAAGCATCGTATCCAAAAAAAAGGAAACAAAAAGTGCGTGTTTATTATTCTAAGATTTTTGTTGGCTTTTTATTGGTGATATATTGAAATAGTACTAATTTTCTGTTCCCATTCTTGATTTGGCAGAGGGAGTCATTGCAGGGGCCAAGGCCGCTGTGGTGGCAAGCATTGCGACTGCAATCCCAACTGTGAGAGACTAGAACTTTAATGGCATTTTGATCATTAACAAAGCCGGTTTATTCATTTTGGGATAGTTATATTAATTGTGTTTATCTATTTAATGTACATTTAACAAAGCAGTGCTGATAATAACCCTATGTGGTAAATTGTAAATTGCAGCTGGCTAGTGTAAGGATGTCACGTTGGGCTAGATCCCACCTTAATCATACAGCCCAAGCCCTTATTATTTCTACTGGTACTCTCTTTATTCTATAGCGGCGCTAATGTTTTCTTTTATCGAGGGAGAGACCTACATGCATCAAAAGTCGGGGTAGGGCCTGCAATGGGACTAGGCCGGGCCTCGAATAGGGCCACTTTTGGCCTCGTCAGGGCCAGCCTAGGTTAGGGTGAGAGGCGGCCCGGCCCAATCTGCTCTCATTGCTGCCCCTTGCTAGATGTGATAGGCTTACTCTACAGATTTTTTTTGTTTTGGGTGAGTAAGTGAGGAGAGGGTCCCTACCCTTTGTACAAATTGAGCCTACAAGGTAGAGTTGTAAATTGTCAAACAATATCCAGTTAAGCCCGGCTCTTTTTCTACTTTTTTTGATATTAATGTTAGGGAAAAAAACAGAAACTAATATATGATGGTTTTATTGCAGTGGCTGGTGCGGCATACTTCATAGTTGCTGACAAGACAGTGTTGGCATCTGCAAGAAAGAATTCCTTCAAAAATGACACCCTCAACTGAGGGAAACAAGAAATTGGAGCACTTAATCAGAGCAAGCTACTTCTAGTTTTGTATTTCTAGTGCCCATGAATAATGATATTTATCTTGCCCCGATATAATATTGTTTTCTTTAGGTCATGTATATATTTTCTTTAAGTTTTGGTAATTAAAAAAGAAAATAGAAGTGCTATTATTACGAGTAAAGGCCTTGTGTACCTGATATTTATCATGGAGACATGGAATGGAATCCAAGGTTTTTTTGTCAAATGAGAATATGTTAAGAGTCTAAAAGAAGGGTGTGGTTTCCGTACGGTTGCAACAGTAAACAATCCCATTACACTTTCAAATTTTATCATAATATATAATTTTGAAGTAAAATGTTCTTGAAATTATCTTAAAATCTATTTTTATATCTAATTATAAAATTTTAAATTTTAAATTTAAAAAATAATTAAAATCAAGTCAATCTATAAACATATGAAAATCTTGAAAATGGACGGTACAGATAATATGTTGTAAGATGCACTATTTATGAGACTCAAAAAATTTTTTATTTTCATAGTCATATATCTCGATGTCGAGATGATCAATCAGTTATTTATTTATTTATTTATTTATTTATTCTTTTGAGGTTGGTCAAACTCCACATATCTGATATGTAAAAGATATTCCTAGTGTAAGTTTTTCCAAGGGAGTAGATAGATAGTATACACTAGGAGTAGAAAATCTTTTAGCATCACTAAATTTACACTCAGGTTGTTCTTTTGCATTTTCTTCTTATTTCAGTTTTAACCATGTTCGTTTTTGCCGACATTGAACCACTTTTTTTTTTTATTGTTTAATTTTTTATGACTTGTAAGGCAGCACGGTAGCTCAGAAATTGAACTACTCCATATCTGAGGTGATTCGGACAATAAAAACATCAAACCACCCTTAATTATCTATTCGGCCCAAGGGTGGTACGAATGCAGTTAGGTATCCCCCAACACATATAAAACTTCTCCTTAATGAGAGAAGGAAAATGATTTGTTGCTAGACACTTTCGATTTACCTTCATTAAATGATAGGGGTGGCAATGGGTCGTCGGGTCAATCCCAACCCGAGTAGGCTTCCCTGGGACCCAAACCCAACACGGACCTGGATTGGGGTCCACGTGACTTGGATCCAAACCTGACTTGGACCTGGGTCTAAAAATTTCCAAAAAAATAAAATAAAAAAAATAAAAAAAAATAAAAAAAAATACAAACAAACAAATAAACACACACACACACACACATATATATATATATATATATATATATATATATATATATATAG